GGTGAGGATGGTGCGAGCGGGCATAAGGCCACTGAGCGAACAGGCCCTCCATCGCTGGCCGTGTTGTCACAAGCTGGCCGCCGACGTATCCGCCGTGCTCCCTGTACGCGATCCGCTCGAGCTCAGACTTCCGCGCATGGCCAGCGGGACGTACCACTATCAGCGGGAATACGGCGAAGGAGTCGCATAGACGCCTGTCCCATGTTTCACGGTTTCCGCGATGCTCCGTCAGCCCCCAAGACAGAGAGCAAGTCTTCAATGCTACCCGTCATGTGTGCTTGATACTCTACGTGACATGGGTACGGCCATAACTATCTGCTCATGGACGTCAGCTGCAGCCACAGCTCCTATTTCTTGCCAAGTTGCCAATCTCGAGCCTCGCCACGTGCGTAGACGGTCTCCCATATACCATCCCTCATGTGTGGAGGCCAGCCAGACCCTGGCACATACTGATATTCCTGAGATCGTCCGTTCCACGTCAAGCCTCTTAGTACGCACACACGACGGATGGCTGCGAGAGCAGATTTCGGAATAGTCATAGTCATAACAATATGCACAGTATGCCGCAGGTCCGAGCCAGCCGGACTCGTTGTAGCGCGAGCTGCAGATTGTCGTCGTGCCGGAAAGCAAGATAAGGCTCCCCCCCGGTCAGTCGAACGCACGCCTCCATGTCGTGGCCCGAGGTGAGCATCTTCTCGATCTCACCCGCGATGCGTATCTGGCTATTCTCGCACGGGCTCCATTCGATGCCTTCTCCAGTTCATCGACGTCATTCAACAGAAACAAGGTGTTTCACGACCGGCGGTATTCCGTTGTAGATCATACCTTATGAATGCAATCAGCCTCTCCATCTTGCCCATAGCGTGTGGCCTCGACTCCCGCACTCCAAAGCGCCCCGTTCGCGCGATACCGAGGGTGGAGGCCGCACGGGCACCAGAGAACTTCGCCGGCAGAACGTATTGTACAGGGCAATCCGTGTCTGTGTACATCAGTGGACCATGCCTCGGCAATGTACCCGCGGGTTCAGAACTGGGGACACGTCGGTGCGAGAAAGTATGTAGTGGGAATGCTGTGCGAGGAACAGCCTGACGGTACAAGTGCCCTCACCGTGCCGCGGAATCTCGCGGAACCTTCTTGCAGACCTTGTCCTTCCGTGAATGCAGTGATATCTTTGCTTGTGGTGTCAGTACTATCATAGCCGCGCCGACCGCAGTGACCTGCAGTGAGACTTCTTTCTTCTTGAAGAGGTTATCTTGAGGACCCCGGTACCAAATTTGGAGAAAATCCCGTAGAGTAGCTCCAATTTGGCATTGAGCTTGCGTGCGCCGGATCCCAGTGTCGATGGGGTCGTGGCAGTACAATCGTCTAAATAAGTTGCTGCACCGCTCGCGGTGGATCATCATTGGATGGATGATCCGGGCCGAACCCCGAGTCCGGCGAGAACCATGACTGACCTTGCTTCGAGATGACTGAAACGTCGATGAACCATCATTCGCTCAAGCCACCAAACCTCCCGCTCTAATCTCACTCTTTGCCCGATTCGAGCTTCCAGTGCATCCATGTCTGGCCAGTCTAAGGTACGCCGGACAGGATCAACAGGGTCGCCTCCCGCGGGTATACACCCTGATGATATTGTGCATGAGTTGACGTCGCCCACTCCAGAAGGGACCTGTGAAGAAGAGGAAAGAACGCCAGAAGAAGCCCGGAGGACAGAGGATGACTTTTGATGACCTTCCCGCGCAATCGAGTAACCCTTCGTTTTTCGCTACAACACAGCTTCGACCCGAGGATATCAAGACTGTGTTCGCGCCGCCTACAACGACTGACGAGAAACTTGACTCCAGGTGGTTGTCGCAGCTTAGAGCTGCCAACTCCGCCGCGCAACTTTCCTTTGGTAGTACACCAATAGTGGGTCAAGGCCCGGTCTCACTGCAATCAGGTTCGTGTGAACCCACTCAGAGTTTGAACGGTGACTATCGGTCTTGGTGATCAATCGGCTGACAACTTATAGACGCAGTCTCCACTGCTCCTGTAAACTCACTTCTCCCCGGAGGAACGACGGTTATCAAAGCCTCGGTACCGTTGCAGGACCCGTGCTCGGAGGGCCGAACCAACCCACTTTTCGAGCCGACCAAACTAATGGCCCCTCTAGATGAGGAACCTGACCGTATCTCCGCGAAGCTATCAGATCCAGTATCCGAACCGTCTGGCTACGATATTCTACGGCACCATGATACTGGGGCTGCAGATCACGACATAACGAACGAAGATCCTTCTGTCAGTCAGGATCCAGAAGGAGGCGATAGCTCCGATAAGGAAATGGACGAGTTCCTCGCGTACATCCAGGTTGATGGCCTGAAGTGCGTCTTCACAAGATGGGCTCTCATAGTATCCATAAAACTGACCTCTTCCTGGTTCTTAGGTGCGACAGTATGGTTGCCCAGGATGATCACAGTATGCTTTATCTACAGGGTCTCTCGTCGTACTGCTGACACTGTTATACCATAGCTGATGCGCAGAATGGTTGGTCCTTGTCCCTAGATATGCTCTTGAAAGAGAAGGTAGAAGGTAATGTGCTCATCTGGACCTTCCGGGAGTTTTGTTTACCGAGAACAATGCCATGTAGAGTCAAAATCCAATGCCGGCCCATCCACCCATCCGCATGACGAAGACGAGACTCTGAAGGACGTAGAGTCGGCAACTCGCTTGGCAATGGCGGCTCTTTCTTCAGATACTCGCGGAGAAGATGTACTGTCGTCAGATGACATGGTTCATATCACGGCCGCACAGCGCTTGACGTTACTGGGAGAAGCTGCGGATAGGATTGTCAGCGAAGTTGATGAATCGGAATATATCAAACCTCATCGACGCGGTATTACCATATGGCAGGAAACATCTGTTCTATCGCCCCTCATGGACATCGACGAACTGACTCCTACTGCTTGGTCAGCATTTGTGGGTGAGAGCCTGTTGCTGCAGACAGTGAGGGTGGCGTGGAATTCAGGAAGTATACAATTCCCCGAGTTCACTATTTAGAGAGTCTGACCCATATGTCGACAGTGTATTCCCGTGCCACGGACTTGCTTGGTGCCGCGCTTCCCTACGATGACGTAGACTGGGGCACCGGGTATGTCGTCGAATTTCTTTGTACACTTGGTGAGCGCGTTCTCTCAACCCACAACCCAGAACACTCATGTTGCCAGCTTTGTCATTACGATGGGCCGAAGCTTCTGATACAGCATTCGCTCTTCTTCAATCTTCTCGTCGCGAAATCGTGGTCGCCAATCCTCGGATGCCTTTGTCTGCTTCTCTGATAATACAGGCCTTGCATCGCCTCGGGCTCAAACCAGAAACGTGCACCATCATCGGTTTACCCTCCGCACCGCTGAACGGCAGTATCGTTCGAGATAAGGACCTTCGCGAAAACATGTTAAAGAAGATTCTCACTTTAGTGCGGGATTACGTGGAGTACGAGTGAGAGATATATTGCTCGCATTACGGCTGATGCATTTGAGCAGAGCCGGGGCTATCATCTCGCCATCCGACATATCCCAGATAACTCTGATCGTCTTGATTCTTGCAACCGACATTGACTCACCCAGTTGGCTGCGCTCGCTCTCGACTTCGGCACTCGACGGTGTCTTAGGACACTTCCATACTGGCACAGGCCCTGCATCCCATGATGTCTGTTATGCTAGTGTTGTTTATACCGTCCATGACATTGATCATGCGATATAGGCGGCGACCTTGGCAAACAAAATATGGATCTTAGCGTCCATGTTGCCGCTCTCGAGTCAGCGGGCCATTGTCGCTGCATTCGGTTTCGGTAACGAGTCTAGCAAGTCTATATGCCGGTGTCTTGCCTACCATCTTCTGCTTGATCGGGTTCTTGACATTGACAATGTCAGTACCGTACCCCTACACCGTCCGGAAAAGATCTCACATATATTTTTAGGCCGCACTTTTCACGGAACCGCAACTCGCATCGATACGTCAGCATCTATACTCGGCAGGCGCATTGTCAGTGAACGCGGACACGGACTTTCATGTCATGGAGGCGAAGCTAGACATTTTGGACAAAGCATTGATTGGTACGAGGGATCTTCTCGCGCGCGCGCAGTCAACCTGTACACCCGACCGGACCACCGCTGTGACTCCGAACACCGTAGACGCATTCGTGAAGATGCTGCAAGACATCATTGACAGACTCGGAGTTGTACAATCCCTTATCAGTATGTATCATCTCCTTTTGTTATCTTGGCCGGCATTCACAGTCCATTGTACTCCGCAGGAGACTCGACCGGAAAGGACATCCAGCCTTCAATCGTCAAGAGCCGCATAAAGATCATCCAATCACGTTTGCTCTATATCATCAGACCGTTTGAGAAGACATGGCTGTAGGGATTGGACCTGACGCAAGAATAACGGCAGATAATCGGGCTATCTGTACAGGGATACCGTCTGACACCATTGACTGAATCTGTCCACCTGCGCGCTAACACACATGCGGTGGACACGGAAGGTCCATCCCAACCATCAGTTGGCGCTCTACTATGTTTGCCCGTCGATTAGTGTCCTACGCGAAAGGACGCGGCTCGGTATTGATGCGTCGTCGCTTAATGGCCACGGACTCTGGCTGCCTTACGAACTCGTCAACTCTCCATACCATCGCTGTATCCATCGTCAATAATAGCTTCCGCATACTGCTCAGCATCTAGAACGAGTACATTTCCCATGTTCTCCATGATTTGCCAATGCTTTCATGTGCTCTCACATTATTGCGAGCCGCCTAGCGACTCGTCCATACGCAGATAAGCTACCGCCAATTGGGCAAATTACACGAGCAGAGTCAGCAGACGTGGTCGTCCTACGCCTCACGATTATAGTATTATGTCAAAATGTCAAAAACAATCATGATGTGCCTATAGACCGGAGGACAGTATACTGGCCCGCAAGTTCGCGCGAGACTCGTTGACATCGAATCGGGTCCAATAGTCGGGGCGATGAGCGTGCTAATTCTTCATCAGCGACTAGGCTTCTCGTAGCGGGCGAGAAAATCGAACCTCATATGCTCCTTGCAAGTCAGACAGTATAACTCCAACGTTCATCAGTACGTGCATGCCGCAGTCGACTTGATTTGTCTGGATGGGTGTCTTACAAAGGGTCAGGAGATGTCGTCGTACATACTCCACTATCAGCTCACCGCGGCAACTGTGAGTGCAATACTACCTGTCGTGTCGTTTGAATCACCCCCTGATACACTTCGTGTCCTTCGTGCAGTATCAAGTACGAAAGATGCCACTGTCTTCGCTGTCGATTGAGCTGCCGAGGAAAAGGCAGGCTCCAGGTGCAATGAGTCGCAGACAAGAACTCTAATGGCACCAGGTCCACCAACATTCCACAGAACGCTCAAGAAGAGAAGATACCAGTGTTCATTCTCCCTGGTATCGATCAGCATACATTCATCAAATTGTAGGATTCACCAACGCGTCATGCACTGGTACAAGCAACCATGGCTTCTCCGAAGGCCTCCATTGAGACCAACGCCTCTTCCAAACAGCCATATTTGGCGTTTCGGACTTATGCATTGACCTAGGATTCTGATGAGTACTGGCTAAAGAACCAATTAGGCGGTACTTACGATCCAAGACAAAGAGTGGTAAAAAAGGTGGAGACGTAGAAAATAGACGAAGATTGAGACGAGTTCTCAACCAGATACCTATCAAGATATCGGTTTACATCCGGAAGGTTACGGTGTTAAACGCACCATATGCCAAAATTCACCACCTCGTCATTGAGGCGAGCTCCTGGTTGAAGCCGGCGCAGATCTCCGCGCGTGATTTTACATATGCTTGACGAGAAGATGACAGTTGTCTCCGAAGCTCGCGATTGCGTGTGTCGTGATGAGAGGAGTGGAGGCCCGCTTCTACAGTCAGTCAGTCCTGCGCAGGATATCGAGTTGAATGACCACTTACGCTGTCAACTGCGCTCGCGATCTATTGGAGAAGCCGCAGGTGCAAGTGGAACTGTGTGTACACCGACGGGGAAGGCGACTTTGAATGGATCTAGCGGAAGGTAAAGTAAGGTTCATAGATTGCGGCGATATCTATCTCAGACTTACAAAACTCTCTCCTTCTCCTTCGAAGACACGACTAGCGCCTGCAGCAGTTGCACATAGGACTGCTCCTTCCAATGGTCGGACTCCCTGCAGAAGGAGAAGGTAGCAGTGCTGATACCTGTCGCACTTTCGTTAAGTAGGGTCTTGCAGGCGATGTGATGGACGTACGGGGACCTTGGATACTCCCGTTGAGTGATGTGCCGCGTCTGAATCTCAGATGCACCGAAGGGCAACCCATATTGTCGTTGCCGGTCTCGTGAGTGTACTTGGTGAGAAATATCGGCCCAGAAAGAAGAGGAATGACGAAGTAGGGGCTCATGAAGGAAGACATAGCATGACTGTTGACATGGCGTATAGCAAGCGTGATCTGTCGGTGATGCTGGTCCCAGTCTAAGACGAGAAATGTAGGCTCGTTCGGAGGACTGAGATTGACTGGGCCGACAGACCAGTCGCACACAGGAACGACGCATTTACCGCTGACATCCATGTCGACAGCCTTGAGATATCGCAGTCAGTGGACAGTGTTCACGAGCGCCCTATATGCAGAGACATCAGACAAAGAAACAGGAAGGCGCTGAGAAGCGAACCTACCACAAGGAGAGGCTGGAACACGTCGACGCCGTTTCGCCGAGACATAGCCAAAGGCGCACGAGAGCGGAGGGTGTTTTTGACTGGTGCCACCGGATTGCCATAGAGCACATCAGGAGTGACACGCGGTGGAACGGCTTCCCTATTGCCTTGAATGGTAAGTATTCGGAACGTGGGTCTCTTTCTGCGCAGTCGATAACGCGATCGAAGCACCGTCGTTCATAGACCGTGGAGGAATGGCAGCCCTATGCGTAGACTGGGTACATAGCCGTCCTTTCCACAAAGCGCCTTTTGTCACAAAGCCGCACAAACGTGCGGTTTATTGGCTGAAGCGCACGCGCGCGCCGTCGCGGTTGGAAGCAAGTTGCGGACAGCGGGCGCGAAGGCACGTGTCGAGAGGACTTACCCAAAAGGGAAAGGATCTGACACGTGGCTGGGTCAGTTTGGAACGCCTTCTGGTCGTACCCTTGGCTTCTAC